TCCGTGTGCATCTGGGTGGCGTCCTTTCGGCATTTTTAGCGCATGTGGTGCTTTGCCCATGTACCGGATACAAACTGACCACTCCCGGATGCCACCTGCCATGCCTCGTTGCCTTCTTGAAGGGTATATACTCGGTTTGAGGCGCTTCATGTCTTCCCAACCCATAACTGCCATAACTGGTGTCTCGAAGGTCATCGACATGGCGGGCGATTTCGCACTCGCACCACAGACATTTGATAGAGCAGGCCCACAAGCTTGCGAGGAAAAGGGGTGTACTGTTCACACGTGTGACAGAGATGGCAGGAAAGCTAAAGGAGAGTTGGAGAGCGCGAACATGCGAGAGGCCGTCGGGCTTTCAAAAGCGGAAAAAACAAAAAGAACGGTGGCTGCACCGCGCACTGCGGGAGGAGGTGGCACGTTTGCAGCACCAATTGCCACTCTACGAGGACGGCTCCATGCATTCACCGCCCGACAGTCACAGTTTTGTGAGCTCTTTTCAGAGCCCTGGAGGATTGCGGCCAGCCACCGTCGCAAGCGTGCATTTCTCCATCAGCCATGCGGCATCAACTAGCCTGTCAAAAGCTCAATTCCACCGGTGTCCGAGCACGTCCCCCGCAGCTGCTCGTTCTCCCCATACCGCCGTCGTTCTGTCTCCAGATGTCAATCGTCGTGAGGTCACGGCTGTGGCAGATCAATTGCGAAGGGTGATGAGCATGGACGGTCAACCATCACAAGGGCCAAACCGGTGATGGCATGTCGTTACGGACATGACGTCACATAACCAAGCCTCGGGATAAGCTGAACTTCGAACGGGATGGTAGGCACGGTAGTAGGGGTGGTTGTGATAGCCACCGACTGACGTTTTTAGGTTCGACTAGCTTCGAATACAATCGCCTTCGATAGCCTACGCGTGGAGGTTTGTGACTATTGTAGTGTTTTTTGGCGAGTTTCACGTGTTGTAGTTGTGATAGGCCAATGTTTTGCTCAGGATCTGTGAATGACAGACGTAATAGCAATGTTTAGTGGATCAGTTTACTTTTTTTTTCCCTCGTTCAGGGGGTACACGGGTGAGGAAGAGATGGTCGTACAATGCCTTTGTGGCAACTTTGGATGTTGTTTTTCAGAATTTGAATATTTCAGTTGCGTTGCCGGTCCACGGAGTGTACATTGTTTTTTATCCGAGTTCATGAATATTTGTGCAACGGGAAACTTTTTGTTGAATGCTGGGCTATTCCCATTTCCATGACATGCATTGCCTCATGACCCATTCCCCTCCCCCCCCCCCTCTCCCTCCGTGTGAGCATTTCAACATTGCTCAACTTCAAATGCGCCACCTTTGAAGTTGTGTTTAAATTTCCCAAATGTCGTAAAGGATGTTGTTGTTCTATGTTGAAAAAACGCTGACTGCGTAGCACTTTTGGATTCGCGAAAACAAGTGTGAGATTGATGGAGGACCTGAAGGTCGACCGTTAATGACAAAGGCATGGTGTGGCATTACACACATTCCCAAAATTCATTTGATGTAGGTTGGTGTTATATATATATATATAATATATATATTTATATATATATATATATATAAAATGGCTTTACGAATTTCCAAAATCGTAAAAAGAGGTGTGAACTTCATTCATTCTGACTGTTCATAATGGGCAGCAATCTATTGCTCTATGCATAGTTCAAACACAAGGCATGCAACTCATGCACTTTCCATGTCTTTTGGCAGGCATGGCGAAGAAAAGGGAAAGAAACAAGCATGTACAACGATTAATAACGAAAACAACAACAACAACAACAACAACGACAAAAAAAACAGAAGAAAAAAAAAAATTCAACAGGAAAAAAAAAACATGTTTCATTTTCAAACATCGTCACAAAAATTACCATAACGTAATTTTTGTACATTGACCGCTTCACACAGAATTAGGGTGCATGAAAATCCCAGCACAATGAAAAGGAAGACAAACCCCCACCACGAGGGCCGATATGGTAAATGCCTTCCAAACTTGGCAATGAAAAAATCCGCACACTTTTGGTGGGGAGACATTCTTCCTACGTCTACCTATAGTCTCATTTGTACGCACAGGTCACTCCATGAATTTGTCTGTGGAGGTGCTATCCTTGAATGCACCGACGGGAAGTACGGTGTGTGGCACCAAATCACGTGACGTGCAAAAATAGAAAAGAAAACCGTCCCCTTACGTGAACGAAGGGGACGGGACGACGTCTGCATATCCGCTCCTGCATCCTGTGGAAACACACGGGCGACATGGAGGGCGTGGCGGGTGAGTTGACGTCGGATATCAACTGTCGCGTCGTGGCGCTGGCGTTCACTTGCATAAAGAACCGAACTTTGTTCTTCATTGTGGCCATCCTCGTCATCGTCGTCTTCATCTTCACCTCCTTCCTCATCACTTTCGCCGAAGTTGTCCGTGTCATTCGCAGGATCGTTCTGTCTTCGCCTTAACAATTCATCATCGACGGGGATGCCTTCGTCGATGATAATGTTGTACAAGATGCAACACGCCATGAACTGGTAACAAACATTCTCCATGTTCGCTATGTGTTTGCGACTAAAGCAACACCACATCCCCTTCAGGCGACCGAAACACCGTTCTATGAGACTACGAACCGCAGAGAACTTACTGTCGAACGCCCTACCATCTACCGTCCTCGCTAGCGACTCGTGCGATGTCAACCAAGGAAGGATTGGATATCCCGAATCTCCCATTAGGTATCGACCGACGACTGAACCGTCGATGAGGACGTTGCTCCTCCTCTGAAAAGGCTCTCTCCCTTCCCCCCCGAGCTCGTACAAATCGGAAATACGAAGCACTCTACAATTATGTACCGAACCTGGCGCGCCCACTGCAACGTCGAGTATGCATTGCTTCTCGTTGCAGACAACCTGTGCAACGATGGAGTACTGCCTGTTCCTATCGTAGTACGCCTCCGCCTCGTCACCACGTGGTTTGTCTATATAGATATCGGTAAAGAGCGAATGCAAACTTCAGACCTGAAGGCAGTGCGTTCTTGAAGCTGGTGTTCATCCTTTGGATTGAAGGCCCGATTGTTTGTAGAACTTCATTGAACACGGCCTGTGTCAGGCGAGTGTACTGCCTGAACTTTGTCTCGTCCCCCATTCCACGCAATGCCATGTTAAACTCCTCCCAAGTGCCCCCTACTCTATCCCATACCCAAAACCTTCGCCTGCCCCTGCCTCTCAACGGAGGGAGACCGTGGACAACGACGCAACGTCGTGGTCTCGGTATGCGAGGAAGCAGAACATGGTTGTGGTGATGTGCATGGTGACGATGCTTGTCAGGACGTGCATGAACATCAAAGCCGATATGACACCCACTTGCTCCCTCAACTTCAACCAATGAATAACGGCGGCGAGTAGCATCGCCAGCTTCACAAGTGTCATATTTTGCGAAGCGATGTCCGGAGGATGGAGACACAATAGGTAGAACAGTTGAAATCGTCCACGTGTTTCAGCGAAGTTGTGCAGACGTGGTTGTGCTACCGTGCTTTGCTAATCACGTGTGAATGGGAATGCACACCATGTGTCAACCACGACGCACACCACATCGACCTTCCCACAACAGCGCTTCCCCGCAGATGCAACACGCACGACGTCGACCTCCCGACGATGACGCATGCACGCGCGATATATATATATCGTCATATATATATATATATATATATATATAGAGAGAGAGAGAGAGAGAGAGAGAGAGAGAGAGAGAGAGAGAGAGAGAGAGAGAGAGAGAGAGAGAGAGAGAGAGAGAGAGAGAGATCACGTACTCCTCCACGACAGCCCAGTTGTGTTTGCTTGCGATCAGCAACGCCTGAGGGGCTTCGCAGGAGGACTGCAGCTGCCTGTCCCACCAGATGTGATTGCTACTCAGTACCCAAGCGCACGTATTGGTACGGGCCGGTACATGTCATTGGCACTGCCCGAAAAGAAGCCCAAGTTCCACCCCGGCGGGTACCACACACTGTGTGACTGACGGCACCAACGAAAGGCCACACATCTCTGTCGCTCGCGACTCAACTGTCGGGCGAGTCCCCACGCTGTGTCCGCCTTCCTGTGTCCAGGAATTCCCACCGACTGCCCGCCCATGAAGTCTCGCCTCACAATCAGGAAAAGTGCCCAAAAGATCGGGCAAGTGCGATTGGAGTTTTCTTTTCCACTACCAACGGACCGGGCCCGTCCAGTGCGCTTCTTTTCCACACTCCCCAAAAAGAAGAGTAGTCGGATCAGACCCTAAGAATAATAGCAGAGGTCTGTAGCAAAAGGCTCGCAGGCTTTGGCCTGTAATGTAAGGGAGATGTATTGTTGAGGACTCCGGCCTCTAAGTCGAACTGTGATGGAGTTTGAATTTTGAGGAAAGGAAAAAGAAGAAAGAATAATAGCAGACAGATGCATCTTGCCACCCCCGGTGCGCAGATGCGCTCGACATTTTCGTGTTTCGTGAGCAGTGTAGCGAGCCCCCAAAGTATAACACATGTATGCATATAAATAGACACAGGAAAAGTGGTGCCGTAGCTCATTTGCCACACTACGGTAGATTGCGAGATACGTTGGGAAGACTCCGTGGTCTCTGACGCGCGCTTGCGCGCGCGCATCGCGCAATCCCCCGCCAAAAGTGCTCAAATTCTCAACGTACTGTTGTTGTCAGTTCTCCCGCGTCCTTTTGTTGTCACACACAAGGAGATTTGTTTCTCGCGCGTCCTTTCGTTGTCACACGAAGAGATTTGCTGGGTCACCACGGTGGTGGTTCGCTATCCCGCCAGATCTGTTTGGAAGACGGAGGGACAGATTTGCTACAGCCCACCATACCGCCGGTACGGTGATAGCTTTTCTTATTAGTACGCGGCCCCCGTCTTTCTTTTCTCTCCTCAATCCCCGATTTATACTTGTCGTCCTTGTGCAGTGCCTACGCGCATCTGCTCTACATCGGTCGAATTTTTTAACGGTTGATCTGTGCGGAAGTCTCATCCGTGTCCCTGCTGCGGGACGACTGTTGCTGTCGCTGTCGCTGTCGCTGTTGGCGCGCGCAAACCGCGCGAACGCGCGCCGAATGTGGAAACACGCATGCAAAAATTAATTACGTACGTACGTAACGGTTCTGGCGCGTCTTTGTCTTGTCTCTCCCTCTCCTTTCTCCTTTCTCCTCCCCTCCCCTCCTTCCCCCCCCCTCTCTTCCTTTCTCCCTTCTCCCTTCTCCCTCCCTCCTCTCACGTTTCCTCTCCGACCATGGCGCTCGCCGCACCACTCACCAAATGTGCAAAACGAGAATGAATCTGCCCCAAAACATGGAAAGGTACGCCACTATAATTTTTGTCGTTTGTGCATTGGCTGAGTGATACGGCTAGGCCCCATAACCCCTCATATGTATGGATGTAAAACCACAGATTGATGAAGCACGTCTTCCCACGTCTTTCCTTCTTGGCGCGCTGTGGAGTGTCAAAATTTCGACCAGCGATCCGCCGCTGTGGGTGTGTGAGACTTCTCTCCCGCGTTGCACACTGTGTGTGACAAAAATCTCTCCCGCGTTGCACAATGTGTGTGACAAAAGTCTCTCCCACGTTCGTTGCACAGGACCCTGCCGCGCGAACTTCTATTTCGCTAATTGCACCCTGGCGGACCGT